ACTGTGCAGGGAGTGACACTCAGTCGTACCTATAAGCAGCAACGCAGCCGCTGTTATAGAGGAGACGCGGAAAAGGCGAAGACAAAAAATGTTGCAGCTGCTGCTGATTCTCTCGACTCGCCTCAGTAAATGTGTGTTCGGTGAGATGTGGGAGGTAGTTTGCAGAAACTTCACTTAAATTACGACCACGGCAGGTTCACACAGAACAACAAACTGTGTAATTACAAATGACTCGAGGTCCCCACAAAACGCCGCTCCCACATCTTTCAATCAGCAGAAACATCCTGTCGCGACGAGCACTGCTGGGATTCTTATTGCTGAGCTGTGGCGTCACGTGATTCTTGAGGCTAAACGATTCAATCACGGGAGTCTGAGTCTCGCCATCTCGTTAGCGGATCGCGAGATGCCCCAGGTGAGAAGGTCTGACCTGCTTTAACAGCTGTGTGGAGGAGCTGATTAGCAGCCACAGCTGGACTAACGTCGTCCTCACGTGTCGTTTCCGCCGTCTGCTGGTTTCAAACTGTGATGAAACATCCTGAGCGGCTCGCCAGAGGCCGGCTGGTCCGAGGCGTGACAGTCCAATTAAAAGGTGAGGAAATACGATGTGTCAGAGGATGTCTGATGCAGGCCCACTCTGACACCCCCACAGCGCTAATAACCAGTCAAAATGTCCGCTTCGCTGCTCTGCCTCCTCGCCCGCCGCGTCGTGGCTGCTCGCCACGTTTCTTCCCGTCACTTTGCTGACACTTCTCCACCTCTGCTTCTTTGTTTCTGTGGGAGATGAAGGAAAAGCTTGTCACTCAGACTCTTCCGACTTTAACTTGATGTCTTTGTTGGCGTCAGAAACACAAAAAACTGAACCCTCAGTGTTCTCGCTGTCTCACCCTTCAGCACCTCCTCTTCCTCCTCCCAGGCCCATCATTTTCTCCTCTTCTACCTTTCTCCATGTCTCCTGCCAGACAGCTAAAAACCAGAGGGAACACTAATAGCAGCCTACGCTGTCGGCACGACGTTACTAAATTGTCACGTGTCTGAAAGAACGACGGCCGCTGCTGCAGAAACAGTCGTTCAGGCTGCACGTCGTCTCGGAGCGAAGGCCCGAGGAAACAGACAAGAATGCGAGTTAAAACCTCGGCGTGGATTAAAATCGTGTGACGTTCGGTCCTCACGCAGACGAGCAAAACCACCATTTGAATGAATCCTCTCAGCAGGGCCGTCCTTTCACGTCTCAGAGTACTTTCTGGAGAGGTCCACGCGCTCGTAGGCGGCGATGTCAAACTCGCCCGACAGGATGACAGAATCCTTTCAGTTTCCGCCGCGCTGCATAATTGAGCTCCCGATACCGACACTTTGTCTCTTTGTTCGAGCAGGAAGCAGAGAACATCTTGTTTCTGTAATTCTGCGCTGTTATTTTCAGCTGTCTCACGCTGAAGCGCTGCTTCTTGTGGCGATGAGGACATGCACCGCAGCAAAATGTCTCGTTGACAGGTGTGAATGTCGAGGTATGATGTCTGCGCGCAGGGCTGCGTGGGTTCATCAGAACGAGGTCAGAGGTCACGCTTCGTCCTTCAGTGAGGAGACCGGAGCTAAGACCGGCCGTTGACCCAAACCAGAGAAACCTCAGGGTTAGCGTGAGCTCACCTCTTAGCATAAACGGGTCACAGGTTAGCCACATGCTAACTAAGCATGTCACCTTCTTACATGTCTCCTGTTACAAGATTGGAGATGCTGAAGAGGTGAAAGCGGTGGGCGAGTGACGAGTCTTTAATACGTCTACGGACAAAAACCAAAGACTTTAAAGTCAGCTGGTGAACACGTCACAGCCTGAGGGTTTTCTCGGTGTTAGAGTTTGTATTGTTGATTGTCATTTATGCTTAGAAATATTTACTTATATATGCTTAGAGTTTTGTAATTAGTTGTAGATTGGTAGAGGTTTTGATCCTTGATAGTCTGCAAACTTTGTGTGTATTAGACAGCACTTTGGGAGCATGAGAGGTCATACCGTGTTTTATTGTTTTAGGAGGATAACGTAGTTGCGTCTGTTCTAGCCTAAGTGCTCTTTGTTTAGATGAACTGCAGGACTTCCTCACCGTGTTATCTAGGATGAACCATCTAGGGTGAGGGGGAGGCTACCCTCTTCCTGACCAAGGATGTTTGACCCTTTGATCAGCAGTCCACACACACACACACACACACACACACACACACACACACACACACACACACACACACACACACACACAACACACACACACACACACACACACACACACACACACACAAGGCAAGGTACTCTTTGTGTGTATGTAGACGTCATATGTTAATGAACTTATGCATATTCATGTAACCTCAATAAAAGAGACAGTGGTACGGGAGAACGGACGAGAGCAACTGGGGTCAAGCGAAGGAACGGTGCCTGTCCGGTTCTCTCCCGTGCACGAGAAACATGAAGAAGCTTGCCTACTTGTGTCTTGCTTTGCAGTGTAATTATATTGCCTTCAACGTTCCAGCGGATGGGTTCAAGCTACAAACCTATCACTCGGGTCTTCTGTTTCCTTCTGTATCCATAGAAAGCATTTTATGGTTGTGCTTGTAGTTTTGTAAATCTTTGTAATCTGGTGTTTCTTACTGTCTGATTCTTCGTGTTTCTGCTTCCTTCTGTGATATCGGATCCTGTTTCGTTTAGTTGTCGTCTGTCTTATTTCCTTTGTCATGGTCTTAATTAGTGTCAGCTGTGCCCTGGTGTTTCCACGCTGTATCTCCTGTGTCTATTTAAAGCTGACGTCTGCACCTGTTCTCTGACTGCGCTCCTGTTGCCCTCCCTTGTGTGGGCTCTGCTGCCTTTTGGTTCCCTGCAGCACCTTAATAAAGAGCCTGGTCTCACAGGTGCACACAGGTGTGCTGCTTTCATTCCAGGGTGTTCAAGCATTTATGGAAGCTGCTGTTTCTTTAGGTCCAGTCTGGATTCGAGCGTCCGTCTGTTTGCTCTCGTGTGCACTGACTCGTGCACATTAATACACGGCGGTCCTGTAGGAGTCGTCGGGTTGGCGAATCATTTTGCTGCTCTCGCCACAGTTTGAATCAAACGTGGTAAATAGAGTGTCAGTTAAACACAGCAGCGGCTCGAGGTGCTTTATACTATAAATAACACAATAACAGACGTCACAAAATAAGCTGTTAATGAAACACCGCCTGGTCTGAGTTGTTAGTCCATCAAAGCGTTTGAATAATGTCCCAAATTTGGTTTTAAGCCAAACATTTTTAGGTGTTATGGAAGGCGAGGTGTAATGGTGTATGGCTGTGAATGTTTTCCTGTGATAAATGCAGACTGAAGCTCGGTTCTCCTCTTCCTCGGCCCCTTAAGCCCATTAGCAGCGAGGCGCTGAACGCTGTGACGCCGACCGATCGGGTATTTCTGGGTTTGGGAGAAGCGTGAGTCAGCTGGCTGAGACTGCGTTTCTTTGAAAGACTGGAACATCTCTGCGACGGCACGAACACATTTCTGTCTGAACAGGTTACAGAGCCATAAATATGTGGACTCGTGTGTTTGAGGGCCGATGAGCGGCTGCGGTAAAAACGTCTCACGCTGCGACTGACGTGTGAAGAACAACATGTCCTGTCCCTGTGTAAAACACGCCGTGGCTCTCATTAAAAACACATTCAGGCGCCGTCGGTGTCCTGACCTCTTGTTTTACAAGCTCTCATCCGGTGAAACACGGAAACGACAAATTTAAATGAAGCGTCGTCTCCGCGCGACACCTGCTGCGAGTAGGAGTCCTCATTAATGTATCGCTGACATTAATAGTGATGAAATATTCTGCAGCACCATCTGGCAGGCTGTAAGTCGTGCATCAGAGCGGAGGGACGGCGCTCTAACGTGTTTATTAACGTGACAGCGACACGTATGTTGGAGCGGCTCTCTGACAGGCTGACAGGACGACTCCAACCGTCAACACCGCTCTTACCTCTGCCGGGACAATCTGGCGTCCCGTGGCCCTCGTGGGGCTGCTCCAGCTGCGTCGTGGACCTGATGGTGGTCAGAGAGACCAAAGCCGGGCCTGAAACATGTCTGCAGTAAGCGAGACGGTGCGCTGCCATCAGAAACACATCCATCGCCGTTTTCTGTGAGCGTGCGGGTTCACACGTCTGACCCGTGACAGGCGGTAAAGAGCACTTATATATATGTGGGGATTGTTTGCAGGAAGTATCCTGGTCCATTTGATCCCCTCTGGCTCGGGCTGTTTGCCTCCTCTCGCACTGACCCAGCGTTTCACCGCAGCAGTCAGAGGGGGGATGAATAATTTAGCTGTGGTGGGCTGCCTGGCCAGCACCGCCGCCGCTAACCCACATAGCAGCGCTCTCAGTGGGCTGCCATCAGTGTGGGTTTGGCTGGAAGGGACAGACCTGCTGTGACAGCCAGTAAACAATTAATGGTCCTCGTGTGGGGAAAGGCTCTGCTGATAAACCCAGGACTGAGCTGTGGACGCCTTTGTTATAAAAATAACTTCATTCATAGCAGATGGTAGAAACGGTGTTAAGAAATAAAGGAGCAGATAAATGGAGCGAGTCAGCTTTAAGCTGAATGTTTTCATGTTTCTGCTCTTTGAACTTTGAACTTTTGTGTTTGTAACCTGTCGTGTTTTTGTCCACGGGGGAAAATGCGACACGATCACTGTCTGGGTGACTGAGGACACGCCTCTCTGTTCTCGTCAGTGGGGTTAGCAGGAAGTTGAATCAAGTCAGGAGGAGAGGGCGGGACTTCCTGGACCAATCAGCTCTATAAGTGATGAAGACCAGCACCCTGCCCTCCTCCTCCCCCAGAGTCGGGCTGCTGCAGCAGTCGTTAGCAGTAGCTGCAGGCTCTCCTGGCAAATCCTTGCAGCTCAGGCTGAAGCAGAGAAAATGGCCAACACGAGACGTGTTCAGAGCTGACAGGCGAGCGTCGGGCCGAGGCTCGCCATAAATTACCTGCAATTGTGAGAGCCTTACAGATTCAATCTGAGCAGACGGACCAGCGCCGCCTCGCCGGTTAGATATTTATGAGCCGACATCTGCCACGCAGACCGTGAAAACACAGCCGATGCTGGATCAGCTGATCCGTCCCTGATCTCGGAGACGGAGACGATTAACCGCCGGAGTGCGCACACTTCCACCAGCATCAGGGCCTCACAGCTCAGAGCAGGAAATCAATGCTCACTTCCTGTCCTGGTTCTAACTGGAGCGCGACTGTCTGTGATTTCTGGGAGGTTTCCTCGTGACTCAGCCGGTCTCCTGACCATGAAGTGATGATGTCATAACATGTCATTTCATAACGTTTCCTGTTCAGATGCATCTACTTACACTTAAGAAGAAATGAGGCAACGGCGTCAATGACATGAAGGTTCATTCTTGTAGATGTGTGGCGTGGAGGCTCGCTGGCGTCTCCTCGTGTTCCAGTCACCGTGGTTTTCGTGGGGTCGTCTTTTCCCTCCTGCTGCAGCCTGCATGCTGCTCCGGGCTGATCTGAACTTCTCTCAACATTAAGACTCTCAGCTTTCTCCTCGCCCACGCAAAGCAAAGAGTCCGCGGGTCAGAGGCTCGTGAGGATCGGCTCGGGGGCCCGATTAGAGAGCTCCTCTGCAAACCTCCGAGCAGCCGCAGGGAAGTGCTCAGCTTCTCCCATCGAGCTGCAGAAAGAAGAGGAGAAATTTACTGCATGCTCAGTCTGCTCCACCCACGGCACATTTCTACACAAGAAGTGTGGAAAAATATCCCCACAGCTCAGGCAGCAACCTGGAGAAAGGCACAGATTTACATCTATCTACAACTCACCTGTTTCAGTTATATTGAAGGTTGCATTATTAGGGGCGTGGCCTCTCTGACCGACAGGTGGTTACCGTGCTAACAGACCGAGCGGCTGCAGGGCGGTTGAGTGTCGGCGCGGCAACGCGCTGAATGAATGAGAGGTCGTCCTAAACGAGCGTGTGCAGGCGGCGTTGCGGCAGATCGTTGCTGCTCCTGTGCGACGTGGTGATTGATATTCAGATGATTGGTGCGTCTGCTGTGCGTGCCCCTCCTCCTGTGTGCAGCTGCTCTCACACTGGCTCGGCAGGTTTTCCATTTACAGCCTGATATAAAATTTATAGCCGCTGAGATCGGATAGTCGCTCTCAGTAACACGGTTAGAGTCTGTGTTCGCTGGACGCTGTGGTAACAGGAGAGGCGGGGTTAAAGAACGCAGGTCTGCTTGTTATCCCACATTTAAAGAAGTGAGCTGAATACGACGACGATGATGATGGTGATGATGGTAAATTAGCTTTAAAGCATCAGACGAACTCCTGGAGCCCGACTCTGACCTGTGGAGTCAGGCTTCACCTGAGCCTCTGCATCACCTGAAGGTCTGCTCAGGTGTAACACGGGCGCTGTTTTTAGACGTCTGTGTTTGTGAGCATTTGCTGTTCTTGAGTGTTCTTGGTGTGTTTCTCCGTCCCCGTGAGCAGGACGAAGCCTGTGATGGCTGAGGCCCCTCCTCTCGCTCTGCATGTTGACGGCAGCACGTTTCAGACTGGAGGTTGTTCCTCCCCGGCTGTAAAGTAAATGTGGAGGAGACGGATTAATAAGCAGTCTTATGGAAATGTGTTCACCCTCAGCTCATTAAAACGTACAGGTGGCCTCGTCGTGTCAGGGCCCCTCACAAACAAATGGACCTCCACCCTCGATCCGGTCTAATAAATGCAGGCGCGGAGTGGGAATCACATTTAGCTGCTTGTTAATGCACCACCTCGGCGCTCCGCGGCCTGCCGAGTGATTAATGCTGAGGCGACGCATTCCTGGGAAACACCTGCTCTCTGTCCAGGTGAGCTGTCGTAGAAGCATCGCGCTATCAGAGCTGCAGCGAGGAGACGCATCCTGCTAATGAAACTGTCCAATTAACTCCAGCAGCGGGAAAGCGTGCTGTCACATGGACAGCAGTGAGAGGTGTGGAAACTCACAGGTGGATTAAAGTTTCACCGACTCTGAGTAAACGTTTGAGAGGATTTCCCACACACAGCTCAGGTGGGTTTAAACCATTAGACTACCTCATGCAGGGCGCCGTTTTATTGGATTAGCACAAACCACACTTATGTAGCTGCTTGGTACATAATATATCATATATCTGAACGGTTTGTTCAGCACTGAGACAAAAAACTGAGAAACAAGTTCAGCTTGTGAAAGTAAATGGACAGCGTGAGCCTGAAGAACCACAAATCTGTCCAAATACTTGTGTGAAAACGTCTCGTAGTCTGTCTCGGGTAGCGTCGCCGTCGTGTCAGCGATGCGGACAGTTTGCTCTGTGCTGCTGTCACAGGTCAGGATCAGTGAAGCATAAAGAGGAGAAATCGATAAAAGTGACCTGACGTGGCCGCGGTTCATCCGACGCTCGTGACAAACGGTGCTGTCGGCGATTAACTCGCCACGCAGGCGTCATTAGTACATGAACTTAAGATCATTAAGAGAAACCAGCGACCAGTCAAATCATGAATGACTGAATGGATGCACATATTTGTTGGTAGTCAACGACTTGACTAAAGCCACAAAGGGCTGCTTTTTATGAAAACAGCACTTAGGAAGAGAAATAAAAGTCGGTTTTTTTCATGTGCGTCCGTCACATCCATGCACTTTTTTCCATGACTTTGATGTTTTGAGGAGCTCCGGCCGAGTCCTGCAGAGGGCTGTGAGACACGTCCTCTCCCCCTGAAGGTTGAGACTCCCGGTCCAGTAACCTTCTCTCTATGAGCCGATCCGCTCACATTCATCGGCTGCTATTATTATGAGTGCATTCGGTGGATGCAGCAGTTCGTCTTCGTCTCCACCTGCTCCTCTCTGCTGGTAAAAATAGATCAGTTGGAGCTCAGCATCTTTCCCGAGCTTCCACCGGGACATTCCTCATTTAACTGCAAGGAATTAGCATATTAGCGCCACTTTAGAGCCAATCCCGGGCCGCGATGCTGCCAAGCCTCGTCCTGCTTCCACAGGAGTGGAGCCAAAGCAGGCGTCCAAGAGAGATGGAGGGAGCGGAGGAGATCAGAGAGCGCCACGTCTTCCATCTCCAGCCAGCTCACACATCCACCCACCGCTCTCCTCTTTTAGCATCCCTCGTCCTCCGCCTCCCCGCGCTGTGATGAGCGGGGAGAACAAAGGCCTGGAATTCCCTGGGATGGAGGAAAGTGGCTGCGGGCGAGCCGCCAGCCTTCACTTTGAGCTGCTTCTGCCCTGCTGGGAGAGGAAGCGGGTCATTCAGCGCGAGCTTGTTGGGCTCGAAGGTTGATCTGAACGGCGTCTTCATTCTCACGACGCCAGGAGACTTCCTGTTAGCCGCGCACATCTCAACTGTCGCCCCCGCAGCCTCTCAGCGGGCTGCTTCGTGTCTCGTCGGCCTTCAGCTCGGCACAAAGAGAGAGAGCGACTTGAGGGGGATCAGTTTGTGGGCTTCTGCTTTTTAAGGCATCCTCATGGTCAGGAGCGGCCCGGTGACTCCGCCTCCATCACGCCGTGTGTTATTACTTTGACACTTTGCAGATTTTCAAACGTGTGCAGCATCCACACCGATTCAGATTTAAGTAAATGATCGATGAGTCCCGCCTCCTCTGAGGACGACCCTCCTCACTGGCCTGTCGCTCGCCCTCCTCATCATCTCCGTGATAAATTAAAAGTATTAATGGGGCTGCTAATGAGGTAATTAGTTTGTTGAATTAATGGTTAGCTAATGTTTTCGTTCCTGACAGCACACCAGGTGGACCCGGTGGGTGGTATTAATATTAAATCTGTGTTTTTGAACATGAAGGAGAGGCCCAGCTGCTGCCTCGCCTCGCAGACACGCTGCTTCCTGATAAACACAAACTTCAGCTGCCAAACGTGGAAAGGGTGAGAACACCGGTCGACCTCTGAAAATGAAAGCACGCAGAAGCATCACGGTGAAGGCAGAGGCTTCACTATCTTCTGTATTTGTTTTAGTTTCCTTCAGTTACTCAATGTGAGGGCGTGCGACAGATGACCCGGGAGGGCGAGCGTGGCGAGCTCGTTTGTGCAAAGATTTTGCAGGTTTGTTCTGAACCACAATCAGCTGCAGTTCTCACCAGAATGACATCATGACTATCAGAAACACAAACGCCGGCTTGTGCGAGCGTGTCGACGCACTTCCTTTAAAGGAGCGACACAAACAGCTTGCATCCTGCTGCTGTGACGCTGCGTTCGTCTTCTGCGTGGACGAGGCCCAAAGCTCTTCCGTGGTCGTTCTCGTCCTTCTCCAACAGGTATTATGTGCCAGCTGGCCCGGCTTCACTAACCCCGCCCCCTCCTGCAGAGCAGGCACACGGATCGCTTCACTGGAGCTGAAAGAGTTTGGACGCCTCAGGCTTTGATTGATTTTAGGACTGAGGAGGATTTGGACTCCTTTGTGCTTGATGAGGCCGGAATGAGCAAGCAGACTGGAAGAAGTTTGGTCTGGGGCGTGTCCTTGGGGCGGATGGCGAGCGCGGGGATTCACGCTCTGTATTAGAAACTGTGCTAAGAGAGAAACGACAGAGAACTGTGTCTTGCATCGTTTCATTTCAGACCCACGTTTCTCAGCCCCGTTCCATCACTCGTGAACCTGCGGCGGGCTGGGGGTGTAATAAGCGGCGACAGGCACGGTACCAGCTTAATGTGTCCTCGGAGCTCGCCTGTCGAGTGAGGCGAGCCACCGAGGGCGGATTCATTGCTGCGAGGAGCAGCTATCTCTGTGAAACACGCCCGGCGCCGAGCCCAGCGACATTTAGGAAGGGCTGCAGAGAGCTGGACGCCGCGTCGAGGGGCGTTTGTGTGAGAGAGCGATACCGAGAGGCTGGAGCTCGTCCACTCACGCTCAAGTGTTTGACTGCTGCTTTTAGCAGAGCGCGGCTGAGTGCAGCCTGCCCGAGCGGCGAAAACAAGATGAATGAACGAGCGGCCGTTTGTCCGTGATTGCTGAATGGGCTCTGGGCAGGCGGCGAGGAGTCGAGCGCTCGGGTTTGGCAGAAAGATGTTCAGACGGGAGGAGAGGCTGAGGGGGTGGAGTAAGGCAGAGAGAGCCGAGGGAACATTAAAGTCATCAGTGAGCTCGTGTTTCACCTAAAACACGTGCCGAGTCGTACCTGTGTCTCACCTGTTCAGCCACGCCCCCGAAACTCAGAGCAGCAGAAATAATCAGGTGAAGCTCAGATTCGATGATGATGATTCGATGATATCAGCAAGAACGTCATGAATCAGAGATGCTTCAGACTTACTTATGAGTCGGCACAAACTGCTCTGAATCAGGAAAAAACCCTAAACACACAAATAGAAACGATAAAAATGACAAAATGACCAGAGAGCCGCTTCAGCGGGGGTGGAACCGGATCTCGGACGTGACCGCACCCAAACAATGAAGACGCTCAAAGTTTGCTTAGACATTTTTATTGCATCTCGTCATGTTCCCGTGTTTCCATGATCGCCTCGCCCTTATTTTGAAAGTTCCCGTTTACCTGTGAGCAGACTGTCAGTGGATGATGTTCAGGCTCCGGGCCGTGGCGTCCTGATGTGGACCCTCTGAGGTGCTGAAGCCTTCCTCTCAGCCGTCAGCTGGGCTGAGCTCGGCTGGAAGTGTACCATTCAATTAGGTGAGGTCACTGAAAATTTAATTGGCAGCGAGGTCATTATTTCAGCGGCCGCGGACGGCTCGCCTCGCATCCCTCTCCTCCAGAATATTCTTCTTCTAATGACCCACCTCCTCCCCCTCTTCGGTTGTAGGTGACAGCGAGGTGAGGATGGAGGGCGCAGTAGGACAAACGAATTAACAGCATGAGATTAAAGAGAGGAGCATGCCTGATGAATTATGCAAGCACGAGTCCTGACCGGACTTAATGGGGCCGCTGTGTGGAACGAGGCTTTTAATGTGAAAGCATCTGAGGAGTGTGTGTCTTTGCATGAATTAATCAGTTACATTTAAATAAGTGTCGGGTTACGTGTTTCATGAATTAAACACGTTTGGAGCCGAGACCTCGCTCACCTTCAACAGCCCGTGGGCCGATGTCGCCGCCCACCGCCGCTCTCCTGCTCCCGCCATCGAGCCACACACGCTAACATTAACTTAGAGTCCGGTAATCGGTAACGTCACCAGATGAGATGCACGCCAACATGGATTCTTCTTGTAGTTGTAGCTGTACTGTCGACCTGCTGCTGGTTGTTTTCATCTCTTGTGACTTGTGTTTTGGCTCTTTGTGGGCTTTAATGTCTCATGACCTTAGCTGTTGTCTCTTTGCAGTCCTGTTGTGTGTCTTTGTGTCTCGTTTTGGTCTAACATTAGCTTGGGTTGGTGTGATAACGGCGGCACATGCAGCGCGGTGTTAAACGGTTTCAAACGCACTCTCTGGTCTGTAGGACGAGGCTCATAAACCGTGTGGCGCAGGTACCCCGCTTCCACCTCGCCGGCCTACTTAATCAGAGAAATGTCAGCGCCTTCACCCGCTGCTCCACTTTCATCCACGTTTTTATGGCGCCAAATTAGATCCTCGCTGATGAGGACTTAAAAAAGCCAGCAGGCGGAGAACCGGCAAGAAACAGAGAGGGGCGAGGAAGATTAGAGGAGGGAGAGGAAGAGGAGGATGAAGGGATGGAGGCTGAGTCAGTCGGTCTGTCAGACTCCTGCTGGAGGTGAATCACAGTCAAGCTGAATGCTGATGGTTTACAAATAAAGTGATAATAACAGTGCTCACACACAGACACACACAGTGAGTCAGGAAGTGAAAGTGTTCTGCAGCTCGTTGTTTCTGCTTCATTTAGCCGTCCGTCAGCAGGCTGGAAGAAACAGTGTGTTGATGAATGCGTGCACGGTCCCGTGTGTGTGTGTGTTGCCTGATCGCACAAAATGAGCGGCTGTAATGAAATCTGTGATTGCTGCACCGTAGGCGAGCAGGGTCATTGTAATTAAGTGTGATTAGGAGGCAGCGTTTCTCGTTCTCCACCTCTGATTCACTCACAGAGGGGCGACTGCACCGCCTCTCCTCCCACATATGATACGTGTGCACGAACGTGTGCACGAACGTGTGCACGAACGTGTGCACGAACGTGTGCACGGGCCTCATACGCCTCGGGTAGAGCGACGGATAAGAAGAGATGTGAAGTGACATGGAAATAACTGTCTTTGCAGCAGACGTGTAGTTAACCCAAGTTTGTGCAGAGAAAACAGAAGGAGGGACTTTTATTTTGAAAAGTCAAAATATATAGGGTCTGATTGGCCGCAGTTCTTACAGTTAGCCTCTTAAAATCCACGTTAGCTGATTAGGGGAGGGGCAACCTTTTGTATATACCACTATGGTGACCTGGTGCTCAGCAATTATAAACCTGGAGGTCTTCTTGTTGTCCTCCTCGCTCTGCTCTTTGTTTGTAAATTTTATGTCTTGTGTTGTGTTACGTGTGTTTGTCGTGTGTTTGTGTCATTGCATGTCAGACAGCTATGAGCACAAACATGGACGCGTCTGCATTAAAGGTCTGAGACTGAATAAAGAAAGCTAAACCCTGGAAGTAGACTGGCTTTCTCATTTCATCAGAGGTCAAAGGTCGGTGGATTTAGCAGCAGTGTTTTAGGATTATGTTGCTATGCTGCAGTGTGCTGTAAGCAACTGTTTACAGGGATTTAAAGGCAAACTTCCAGGGACTGCGTGACACTGACAGCCCCTCAGCACAGTAACAGCTCTTTGATACTGAAATAACTGAGCTGTGACAACATGGCTGCAGCTGTTCTTCCTCTCTACTTTCAAGATTAGGCTTCAAACTTTCCTTTTTGCTAAAGCATATAGTTAGGGCTGGACCAGGTGACCCTGAATCCTCCCTTAGTTATGCTGCAATAGACGTAGGCTGCCGGGGATTCCCATGATGCACTGAGTTTTCCTTCTCCCTTCTCACTCACTATGTGATTAACAGACCTCTCTGCATTGAATCATATCTGTTATTAACCTCTGTCTCTCTTCCACAGCATGTCTTTATCCTGTCTTCCTTCTCTCACCCCAACCAATCACAGCAGATGGCCCCGCCCCTCCCTGAGCCTGGTTCTGCCGGAGGTTTCTTCCTGTTAAAAGGGAGTTTTTCCTTCCCACTGTCGCCAAAGTGCTGCTCATAGGGGGTCATATGATTGTTGGGTTTTCTCTGTATGTATTATTGTAGGGTCGACCTTACAGTATAAAGCACCTTGAGGCGACTGTTGTTGTGATTTGGCGCTGTGTAAATAACATTGAAATGAAATGTGAACAGGAAGTGGAATCGTGTAGTGGAGAAAGCAGAGGCATTTTTATCCTCAGCTGGATTTTGAGTGGATACGAGATGTTCCCAGTGATTCGTGGAAATTAGCCCTCAGATCAAATTATCTCTGAGACCCTCGACGGGGTTCCAGCGTCGCCGCTCTGGGCCTTAAGTAAAGATCATATCCTTCAGCCACAGTCTTTAAAACACAAACGGCCGGCTGCAGGGGCCCGCTGGGCCCAATTCAGAAGGATGGATTGTTTTATTTTCAGGGAGAATATCATCTGTTTTACCCTCTAAATGTGCTGTTATCACAGGCACGGCACATCCTGTTGAGACCTGTGAGTGAGGACTGTGTTATCTCGCTGCTGCAGCTCAGGGAAACATGTCGCCTGGTTTTAGCCTGAAATACAGCAGCTCTGTTCATTAGCGCGTCGCGAGCTTTTGACTTCCTGTGTTTGTTCCGGGTCTCAGTTTATTTGAGGCCCTTCTCTGTTTGCCGAGAGGCTGCAGAGGATTTTTCTGTCAGTCACAGAAGGATTTGAGTGATGTGGTGTGTTTGTCATGCAGGGACTCTGCTGAGGAACTTTCCAACAACACAGTTTTAGTCTTTAATCATTGGCTTTTGGTCAAGATGACAAAAACCGTACAGACTGATCAGAGGGGAAACCGACAAAACTAACAAATGTTCAAAGTGTTACTGTGAGCAGAGAGAAACATGGCCGACACCAGTGCAGCAGTGACTAAAACACTTTGACCATGACGGCCTTCGCTGTGGTGAGCCGACGATCTCGCGAACAACGACTGTGACCGCTGATTACTCACAGGCGTCGCCACTACGAGGAGATGCAGCGGCTCCGCCCCGCACCATGACAGAAACCTAACGAGTCGGGCTTGCTGATTGGACGACTGCGTTGGTGCCAGCTGTTGTTGTGTGTGTGGTTTTATTTTGTTGACGAGTGATGTGCTGAGGATCGGTGCAGGGCTTCCCGGAGCATCGCACTGATCCACTGACAGCTGTCTGCACGTCCACGGCGAGGGCGAGCTGCTCACACAGGATTCGGTTACTTTTACAAGCAGCAGAGATGTGAGACTCTGGAGGAGATGAAGATCCTCGGCGTGTGACTCTCAGAATAAAACGCTGAAATGGTCAGTCTGAACACGCTGACATGAAACACATCATTTTAGATTCGGTTTGATCTGCTGAGGATGAGCACGCCGCTCAGAGAGAAATCCCTCTGCGTCTGCACGATGACGCTCTCCAGCACGTCCATTGTGCCGATTCAGTTCAGAGAGCCGCCGCTGCAGCAGATGCGGCCCGCTGGGTAATAATGGAGGGTGAAGGAATCTGTCAGAGACGCGAGAACAGCGAGGAGATGGTGACGCTCTCACACTCAAACAGTGTTTAATGGATCTAATTCATGTTCAGCGCTGCCCCGTTTTTAATTAGAAACTCTGGACGGGCCGGACGGCGTGCAGACGGAGCGCGCTCACAAATCTCACATGCTCATAAATGTCTTATTTTTATATGAGGCAAAGATCAAATTCAGCTTCTTCTTCTGATACATTCATGGAAACCTCCATCTGGGGTCTCTGCCGTCTGTTTGTTTTGACCTCTGACCCCCTGGAGGTTCAGGTCTCACACGGAGGCTCGCAGCGGCGCCGTCCTCCCACACAAGCGCTCGTTAATAGACATCAGTGACGAGCAGAAGGTCAGTAAATCCGAGTCCTCTGCCGTCGTCATGGCGCATTAATGTCAGATGGGAATGCCAGCGTGTCGGATCATCGCTGCCTCTGATTGGCTGTTTCGTTTTCCTGTCAGGGCTGCCGATCGATGCTTCAGCTCTCCCGTCATCTCTCTCCTCGCCTCAGAGGCGTTGACCGTCCTCGCCTCCCAGCTCACCTCGCCGTCTCAGATCAATGCTGGCCGAGTTTTATTGAAGCCGGCAGGGGGCGAAGAGGAAGTCCACAGGAAGTCCAGTCATGTTGATGTGATCCATACAAAGCGATTCACACTTCATAATAATCCTTCTTTGTCTTATTCTGGGCCTTGTAACCGGAAGGTCGCCGGTTCGATCCCTGGGCTCTCTGTCCTGGTCGTTGTGTCCTTGGGCAAGACACGTCACCTACCGCCTACTGGTGTTGGTCAGAGGGGCCGATGGCGCGATGTGGCAGCCTGGCTTCTGTCAGTCTGCCCCAGGGCAGCTGTGGCTACACCTGCAGCTGCCTCCACCAGTGTGTGAATGTGAGAGTGAATGAATAGTGGCATTGTAAAGCGCTTTGGGTGCCTTGGAAAGCGCTATATAAATCCAATCCATTATTATTATTAGCACCGCCCAGAATAAGACAGACAGCTTCTTTCTCATTGGCTGTCCCTCCTCAATACAAGGAACAGCAGGTAGCTGATCCCAGCTCAGGTCAGTGAGGAATTTCCCACCAGGTCCCAGGTACTGACTCAGTGACATCACACAGAGCAGGTGCTCAGGTTTAGCAGGAACATCTGGAACAGGAGCCACTGATAAATAGTTTCACTTCTTTGTGTCGTTTGCATGAATGATTTATTTTGAACATCAGATACTTTCTCTGGCCTGAAACCAAATAATGGAGCTGAAGTAAACTTGCATGAATTTGCATTATTGACGGAGCATTTTTCAGTCATAGAAATATGAATACGTGCTGGAGGTGTTTGCAGGTGGCTGCTGAGCAGAGAGGCGTGCTCTGTGGAGGACGTGACCCTCACTGTGGAGGGGATAAGGTCACGCCGGCCTGCTTTTGATGCTGCGAGCGTCCAGCTGTTTTGTTTTAGCGTCTCGTGGACGTTCAGATGAATTTCATCAGCCTCTCAGACAGGGCGGTCAGGCAGAAGAAGGGCCTGCCTTCATATCTGGTTTCTCTCTGGATTCTTTTTTCTGTCTTGATGGACACAAGGATGATTTTGTCCTCTGAAAGTTTGAGGATTTTGATGGCAGCCTATGATTTTATTTTACCTTTGAAGCATGTGTTCAGAAACACGTTGCCCCTGCGGGATGTAGGACTCAGTGACTCCTTCAGTTATCTGATGCTCACAGCAGCAGATAAAGTCCACCGCCCTCTCTGAGCCTTTGTGTTCGTTTCCCGGCTAGCCCGTACAGACCTGCACGCATCTGTAGCACCTCCTGGCATTGAGAATACAAAGCACAAGTAGCTCAGACTTGTAACGTACAGCTGGTTCTGATCAGGGTCGGATCACGTTCACACCATAAACAAACCGCTCTGCAGAGACCAGCCGAGTGCGGTTACTGTGTTCACACCTGCACTACCGAACCGCACTGAGGGGGGATCGAACCAGAGACTAAACACTGCAGGTGTGAAACACCCAAAGAGACCGGAGGTGGAGCTTCACGTCCACAGAGACAGTAATGAGTCCAAGATCTGGTGCAGCAGGTGGAGGTTTTCCTCTCTGCGTTTCTGTGTGTGTGTGATGCAGTGTCTGGACCTCTGTGGCATTTGGGGGCGACCGTGGCTCAGGGGGTTGGGAAGCGCATCTGTAACCGGAAGGTCGCCGGTTCGATCCCTCTGTCCTGGTCTTTGTGTCCTTGGGCAAGACACTTCCCCTACCGCCTACTGGTGTTGGCCAGAGGGGCCGATGGTGCGATATGGCAGCCTCGCCTCTGTCAGTCTGCCCCAGGGCAGCTGTGGCTACAACTGTAGCTGCCTCCACCAGTGTGTGAGAGTGAGAGTGAATGAATAGTGGCATTGTAAAGCGCTATATAAATGCCATCCATTTGAGCTGTAAAACAAACGTGTTCAGCGCCTCGTTCTGCTCACCTCAGCACCTCATGTTCACGACTCCCGTTCAGACTTCTTCAGTACAAAAACGATCAATAACTCCAGTTTTTATTAGCGGCTGAACAACAGAACCAATCAGCGTTAATATTAATGAGACCTCGTTAACCTGCAGCTCAGGCTGATGAACAGCCGAGCAGCAGAAGGTCCTAAAAGCTCGTGAAAACATCTAAACCTGTTAATAAAAGCTTTGAATATTGTAACAGTAATAAAATGTGGTAAAAGTGGTTTTATAACTCTTATTTACATATATATATAATTATCACAATGTGACATATACACCGTAAAATGTTAAGAAAAGCATGAATTTACTTTATAATTTACCAGCAGATAAATACACACATATGTAATCATTTATAAGGGAACAGTCAAACACGGTCACACCATCTTATCATCACAGCAACAGGAAAAGCTCACGCCATAAGTGATCACATGACGGCGTCAGGTTGAAGCTTACATGAAGTCGTTTTTCGAGATGACACGTGAACATCTGGCCTGTTTTTATGTTCAGCGTGCGCTCGTGTTGTTTTGGTCATGCTGCAGACTCATCTCGCCATCATGCAGATGTTTATAATAATCACCTGTCCAGTCATTCCTGAAGAATCCTTCTGCGTCACCTCCACGCTCCCCTCCTAACATCCCCTGTTTCCTTCCACTCTCCTCCTGCAGATCCCTCAGATCAGCTACGCCTCCACGGCGCCGGAGCTGAGCGACGACCGGCGGTACGACTTCTTCTCTCGGGTGGTCCCTCCGGACAGCTTCCAGGCTCAGGCCATGGTGGACATCGTCAAGACCATGGGCTGGAACTACGTCTCCACGGTGGCGTCGGAGGGCAGTTACGGCGAGAAGGGCGTGGATGCCTTCATGCAGCTCTCCAGAGAGGCGGGTAAGGTCTGCACAAGCTCGTAATAAGCTGTAAGGTGGGGGTCAGGGGTGGGATTAAAGCGTTGTTTTTACGCTTCTGCATTTAAGACAGGCGTCCAATCAGAGCGGTGTTGTGATGAGGGCGTGAAACTCACGAAGGTTCATTTGCTGCCGTTAGGGCGGGCGTTTGGCGTGACGCTGAGGTCGTCTCTTTGGGCTGCAGGATGAAGGTTTCGCTCGTCAGAAGCAGTTTAGGAGATTCCAGGTTGCTTTCTGACTCCTCACACAGACTCAGGTGTAGTTTAGCCTAAAAATCCAACAAAGGTAAAACATCCCCAACCTGACCAATGGGCTCCTACCACCTGTCGCCTGGAAACGGCGTGCTCAGACAACTGTGGACTGTTGTGGCCTGCAGCAGGTTGGTTTCTCTGGGCTCGCGACACACTCGACCCTGCTTTTACTAACCGCGTACTGGAGGCGCCGTCAGACACTCGTCCTGCAAACACTGAAGAAGCCGAACAAACTGTTGAGTCAGAGGAGCTGGAGCGGAGTTCATTAGAGCGCGTGGCGCCGCTGATTGCTCTCTGAATAATCTCGCTGACATTTGCAGCCATCTGATGGCTCTTCACAGCCCACCGGTTAGGATGCGTCCTGACATTTATGCTCTGCGTTTTTTAGCGGATTATTAAAGGACGCGGCGCTGACGGGGAGCGTCTTTAACACCAAACAGTTTCCCAATGTTTCTACATGGATGGAGCCCGGGTCATCGATCTGCGCTGGCTTTTGAACGGCGTTCGGATAAAATGAACGGCACAGCGGTCGTCCGGTGTCACCCGAGCAGAACTCGCCCTCTTCATCTGCACAGCCGCCTCCTCTCAGGCTTAATCTCCCACAGCCTCCTGGCTTCAAAGAGAATACAGCAATCAGCGGGAATGAGCAGCCTCTCAGTGCTGTGAGCAGAGAGGTCTGCAGGATGTCAGAGTCGTGTCACTATATTTAGGAAATATATAGAAACTGATATAGAACAAATCCTGAATGTGTGACTGATGCTGGGAGCTTGCGGGTGGTGTTGCAGTGAGCTGCTGTCCCTGGTCCTGCTTGTGTCCAACCACGAGGTGCCGGCAGCAGCGTTACAGTGCAGGAGCCACACAGCAGACGTTAGTGTGAGCGTCTGCAGCTTAACACTCACTTTATCCTTGATCCATACACTTCCTCTTCCTGTCACATGACGTGCAATTAGTGACGCTCAACGGGATCATTTGCTGCAAGCACGTCCTCCTCTGTAGCCTGGTGGTGTATGTTGCCTCCACCTTCAGCAGGAGCAGGTTTCTGGTCCTGGGCCCTCGAGTCTGAGAGGTGTTTTGGGGGCAGAGATACTTCTGTTTCAGGTCTGTGTGGAGCCGGCACCAACAGCTGGCCCCGCCCACTGGCTGCTGCTGACTGAATCCTGGCCTGAGGCTGGCGTGCTGCTCTCGCTGTCGGGCATGGCTGCTCTCATGGTGTTTGTAACCAGCTGAATGTTTTGGTGATGAAGATCAAACCTCCTTAAAGATTAGAAACCTGAGAAATGAGACGCTGCTCCTTGTTGCAGAGGTGCTCCGTTTGTTTTCGGGTTTCCTCCACGCTCGACTCTCTGTGCATCGCTAAGAAACTCTCTCATTCATCCAACTTTAACACTGAGTCAGCGCGCTGCTTTCAGCAAACACAAGTGAGACTTCTGCACTAATGAGCAGCATCTGAGAAAAACTGCATCCCAAAGCTGCTAATTCCTCTGTTCCAACAGAGAAACATTTAAACAGCCTCTTAAAATAGTTTCAAGTAAAGAGACGAACTCATTAGCAAAAATATTAAAACCTGAAACAGTGATTCAGATATTCTGTGAGGAGCATCGGGATCACTTACTCCTGTGAACCGGATTAAATTTATCAAGCAGACCATAAAATTAGCTCAGTGTGTGTGTGTGTGTGTGTGTGTGTGTGTGTGTGTGTGTGTGTGTGTGTGTTATCTGCAGATTAGTGAATAATCCAGCGAGTATCGATCGCCGGAGCTTCCTGTCGTGTCGGCCCTGATTAGCAGCAGGATCAGTGCTCACTGTGTGGACTGCAGAGTTTAAACCAGTAACGAGCTTTCAAACTAAAGTCCAAGAAACAGCACTGTGCTCACACACACACACACACACACACACACACACACACACACACACACACACACACACACACACTGAGGTCCGATGGGAAACCGGACACGGTGGAATGAGACACAGCTGAACTCCATAAACACAAAGCAGGGAGGTCAGAGCCCGACGCAGGAAGCTGACGTCTCGTAGCACGCATGCTTCAGTTCCTCATCTACCTCCCATAATTCACAGCGACACATAATTGAAAGCAAAAGTTTTCATGATTTCATGAACGTCACCAACAAACTGCCACAGATCCCTGACGTGTTCAGTAAAAGTGTGTTTTTCCATAACCTGCTGATAGATTTAGGCTGTTAAACCCACAGCTGAGCGTCTCACCGCTGGAGGAACATCTGCTTCCTGTCGGCGTGGCTCCTGATGCGAACAACGTCTAAAACTCCCAAACTTTCTCACTCTTGACGATGAGTGTTAGTATTGGCTCAGTCACAGGGAGCAGGACAGTCAGTCAGCACGTTGATCTTTCCTGCTTTCAGTGACCGACTGTGTGGGACTAACTGGTCACCCAGAGGGTCCGACATGGACTCCAGTCGCTACAGACTGGTGAAGGTTTGCCTGTGCTGTCTGTGTATCCTGCTTCTATGTAGTAGTTCATGTTAACGTCACAGTTACTCGCCGTCTCATCACAGACGGACAGCGTGACCCGTTTTGATTGATTGATTGATTGATTGATTGGTAATTTATTTCAAACATGTAAACAACCCGTTCAGTCACTGATGGATCTTATCGCTGTTTTGATGATCTTGATGAATCCAAGTCACTTTGAAGACAGCAGCTGACCGCAAGTGGTCTCAGACCGGGTCGCCATCTTCAAATCGATCGTTACCACGGCGACAACCACGCTCCCCTCGGTGTGACTGTGGGCTGATTCTGCTGGACTGTGAACTTCCAGAGATTCCGACGTTTGCCGGGTTTAATGAGCTATCCTTCAGAAAGTCGTCACATGCAGAGGTTTGCTTTATTATAAACTGTGAAGCAGCTGTTTGTGGCATCTGTTCCTAATAAAGAGGCGTGTTTATTAATTAAGCTGTGCAGAGTAACACACACACAGACGTCTGACGTTAGCCGACGGAGCGTCTTTATTTGTGCTCGGGATGATGAAACGAGCTGGAAACGTGTTTCTACCGCGTGTGACGCTCTGCACGTTTCAACTTCACATGTTCGCAGATTCATCAGACTCAGAGCTGCAGCTCGACCTCATCGGGCCGACCAGCCCCTCACGTGATGCAGCTTTAATTAAGATTAAATGAGTGCCGGCCTGCAGATGCTCATCTGTGTGAAGCGATAACTGAAACAAATGAAAAGTGAAGTGCACACGTGAGGAAGCTTTCCTGTTATTCTCTGAGTCAGCAGGCCTGTGAAGACAAACGCTGCCAGGTATTTGTTTTCCAGAGTGCTGACCGAATAGCGGCTCCTTAATACCGAACTCTGAACTGGCAGCTCGCAGTGGGAGGACCAACGCTCGCCGATATCTGCCTCCGGGAGCTCTTGGGGAAATTTCTCCCCCGCAGCTGCTGTTTGTTTCACTTTGAAGTGATTTCATCTCCGGGTCTCAGTCTGTGTAAAATCCATCTGACCTCGCAGATCTGCAGATTTGATAAACGTGCAGCGGCTCAGGAGCAGATCTGCGATTGCTTCTGTGATTCACAGTCAGCTGTGTCGCACCTTCATTTGCATTCACACAATCAGCTGTGATTTCCACACTAATATGTTTTCGTTTGAAAACATCTTTTTCTCTCCGTTTTGGCTTTCCATCCACACTCAGACGGCGTTTTGAAAACGCTCTCCAAAGCGGATGCATTTGAAAACGCTGTTTTGGCGTCGCAGTGTGGACGGCGAGAACGGAGCCTTTCGGAAACGATGACGCATTTTAGCCATGTGATGCAGTCATGTGACCAATTCAACTAAGACTGCAGACGTACTGTACAGCAGCAGTTTCGTTTGCTCTCAATTGTGACGGCCCTATTAAAGGTTAATATCAGTTTGTAAGTGCTCCAGATAGCTACAGATAAAAGTCGGTGCTTTTCCTCAACATTTCATCGCAACTTTTGAAAGAGCAGGAAAGAAAAGGTCGAATCGTCCTACGTTTCACGTGTGCACAGTACAGGAACATTTCCAGTGTGGATGAAAAGGATTGAAAGCGATAGTGTGGACGTGGAGCGTTCTTAGACGAAAACACCGTTTTCAAATTTATCCGGATTAGTGTAGACGCAGCCTTAAACACTTTCATTGTCATTTATTCGAGACAGACCGCTGTCACGACATCCTGGGGAAAAATCACGATCATCATATCTTTAAAAAAATGTCAAGTACTGAAAAGCGAAGTCTTGGTAAGAACCAGCAGGGGGCGACTCCTTGCCGTTGCACTGCAGAGCGCCCCCTTGTGTTTTTGCTCTGTAACTGTCAGCCAATACCTCGCACATTCCCGCCTCTTGTCCTCCTTGAATTTTGACGTTTGTCTTCTTGTTTGGTCGGTGACACTTTGTAATCACCGCGCTTAATAAAGTGTAAAACCTGTAATCTGTTCTGTGTATAAACCTGGCTGATGTATATGATATAAGCTGTGGTCAAAGGTTTGGACAGCAGGTCCATCACAGGCTGATAACAGCCTGCAGCTGTCTGTGGGCAGGTGGCAGGCGCACTGCTGTAGCTCCATGTAATGCAGTAACAACAGCTTCATATGCAGGAAGCTCGATGAGTTGGATTCTTCCTCAGGAGCTCGTTCCTGGTGTTTCGAGGCTCCACTCGTCTCCTCCGTGGTTTTAATGGTCGTAGAAGTTTTTCTATTCAGTGATTTATGTCCGTGTGTCCTTCAGAGATCAGCAGAC